ATCCAAATGTTATCCCTTGACGTGTAAGGCCCTGTGTAGCATGGAGTTTTGGTCATTGCTCCCTGTATGTCAGCCACACTGTTTTTTACCTGTGCTGGGGCACTGCAGCTGCTTTTTCTCCCTGGAATGCTTTCCCCTCCCCCAGCTTTTTGCATGGCTGGTTTATTCCTTAACTTTACTACAGGTACAGAGTTTGCAGCCTGTGCAGTTGGTTCAAGCCACTACTTGTAGAGGAGAACAAGTTAAGATCAAGTTTATTACCTTTGGGAAAAAAACATAAAGCTCACACACCCCAGGGCACTGACAACATAAAATGTTAATTATCTGAGCTTGTTTGTATGAAATTTTTTAATATATTTTTAGTTTGTAGGAGACATATTTTTTATTGTGAGAAATTCCTACCTCCTTCCTTCTCATTGGCTAAATACATGTTAGGATCTGCCCTTACCTGTTACTTTCTAGTTTTAACCAAATGTAATAAATAATATGATAGCAGCTATTATTATTATTATTATTTTTGAAGGCTTTCTGGGGGCTATGTATTGTTCTAAGTACTTTACGTGAGTTGATTTGTGTAATCCTCATAATGATTTTATTGTGTGACAGGTACTATTATTTTCCTTACTTTTCAGAAAAGAAAACAGAATCATGAATGATTAGAAAGCCAGGAATTGAACCCAGAAAGTATGAACCCTAGAACCCATGTTTCCAGCTACTACCTTGTATTAAACTCATTGACCTGTTTCCACCTTCATTCAGACTCAAATCTGCCAGTTCTTAGATTGTTCCCCACCTTGATGCTAACTGTCTGGATATCTCTGATGTCCTTGATGCTGGCATCCTATGTATCATCTTACAGTCTAGACCATAGAGTGAATGTCTACCTGAAATGCTTGCTGATGGTACTGAGATGGAGATAGCACTGTCTCAGAGTTCAGGAAGCTCATAGACTAGTTCAAGAGGCAGTTCTATGGGTGAATCAGTGGGATGATGCATAAGAGCATAGGCAGCCCTGCCCTTTACTCCCTGCGCTTCCTTGACTATACCCAGCTGTTGATTCAGTCACCTTGTCTTTGCTCCCTGTCATTGGCCCTTTGCCTGGCTGTGATGGCCTGCCTTTCTTTGAATGATAGATGTATGGGTCAGGGTTCTGGCAGGAAACAGTGGGCTCAGGGGGCGTGGCCAAAGAGAACTTAGTGAAGGGACATTTACAGAAGTGGGAGCAGGGTTGAGGGAACCAGCAAGAGACGATGAAGCAACCTAGGACTAGCAACAGTGGGAAGATGTTACCCTAGGGCTTGAAGGGCCAGGGGAAGAAGTGGTGTATACCCCACATGGGGAAATCTGGAGCCTGGGATGAGGGAGGGGTTACCTGCAGGAACTCTGCCATAGAGTATTGCCGCCACTGGAGTCATTCATGGTGCTATCTTTCTGCTGGTGCTTCGTTTGGAACTCCCGCTGGAATGCCGAGGACATGGCTTAGGTAATGCAGTTCTTAAGAGGTCAGCCTCCTGGGGTTCGGAACAGGCTTAAGAAGAGTTGTGGATGGATTGGATGGTGACAGTGTATTTAAAGGGAGAGTAACTAACACAACAGATGACTTACTGTCTCTCTCTGGTTACTTCCTGGGATTCATCTTTTATGTCTGTTCCTCTAACCTGTTTTAATTAATTCATCCATCCATCTGTCTGTCTGTCTATCTATCTATCTATCCTTCCATCCTAAGCATTTAGTATGTACAAGATCTTTGTTAGCCTCAGGGAAGCTACAGAAATAAAAGTGTTTGTCCTGAAGGAATTCGCAGTTGATGCTTGATGTTCTCAGCTCTGCCTCAGCAGTGAGATCTGGTGCTCCCCATCAATTTCTGTTATCCATCGTTATCCTCAGAAAATGGTAGGCCTCTGCCAATAAGCATTTCAAAGGGCACTGTATCAGTGTAGGCTCTTTCATTTACAAGTGACAGAAAACCTAACTGAAACTGGCTTGGGCAAAAAAACAACAAAGAAACAAACAATAGCATTTATCGGCTCATAGAACGCAAAGGCCCTAGGGTTCAGGCTTCAGGCTTTGATTCAGAGGTCTGATTGCTTTCTTCCAAGGCAGCCTTGTTGTCAGGTTCCACGAAGTGAACAGATTGCTGTTCTTTCTAGTAGAGAAAATAGAGGACCTTTCCTCTCCCAGACCCAGCAAAAGTCTCCTTGCAGCTCTGAATCATTCCAAGATGGGACTGTGACCTAACATGAAAGCCAGGACACTGTGACACTGCAAAGGACAAGAATGAGTCATATGCTCACCCTGGAGTGGGGGAGCAGGTTTTCTGTTCAGTGCCATTGCGAGCCCACATACTAGGATGGAGGAGGTGGAGGCTAGCTGGTAAAACAAAAACAAAAAAACAAGAGGGTAGGGGCGCCTGGGTGGCTTAGTCGGTTAAGGGTCCGACTTTCGCTTAGGTCGTGATCTCGCGGTTCGTGGGTTCGAGCCCCGCGTCGGGCCCTGTGCTGACTGCCAGCTCGGAGCCTGGAGCCTGTTTCAGTCTGTGACTCCCTCTCTCTCTGACCCTCCCCTGCTCACGCTGTCTCTCTCTCTCCTAGAAATAAATAAAACATTAAAAAAAATTTTTTTAATAAATAAAATAAGATAAAACAGGGTGCACAAGCCAAACAAAGCAAACAAGGAGAGGATGGGGGAGGGGTGGCTCTCTAGTTCCAGGGCAGGTGGGGCGCAGGATGAGCATGCGGCTCGTCTAGGCTTCTGATCTTTGGANCTGTGACTCCCTCTCTCTCTGACCCTCCCCTGCTCACGCTGTCTCTCTCTCCTAGAAATAAATAAAACATTAAAAAAAAATTAAAAAAAAAAAAACAAGAGGGTATTAAAGGCAGAGTCCATATACCTGAACCTGTTCTGGATAAGGTATTCAAGTTATTTAAATCACTCACATTGAAGCCTAAACTAGACCAGAGATAGTTAGGATTTTCAGATTTTTATTTTGTCTCCTAAATGCACCTGCCTATTCATGCCTCTCTTTCTCACCCTTGCCTTCTCTCATTTAACAAGAAACTAGAACACCAAAGACCACCCCACCCTACACAAACGATACTTTAAGATAGTGCCTTTAAAAGAAAGAAAAAGCTTTCTCACTGTACTATTTGTGTAGATTCAGCTTATATTAAGAATTGAGGAGATAGAGGGTTGATTTACTAGTCGACTATTGTTTTTCAGGCTCTTTGATGTAGAAATCTAATTTTTTTGCTTACAATCAATTTGGCATTAAAGGATCCTATAATTTGGTCCCATTAGTCATGCAGTTTTATCCTGACTTTAGAGTCAGACAGAAATTCCAGCTCATACATTTAAAGAACCCTAGGTACTTGGTCAAATCAGTCATCTTAATTTCTTCATCGGAAAAGAGAGTAGTATCATCTGCTGCTAACTATTTTCTTTCTCTCATATATATCCTATCTATCTGTCTGTCTACTTACCTACCTACCTGTCTCCTCTCTACAAGCATGTATATAATCTCTCATTGAATCTTTCCAACGACCCTGTGAAGGGTAGGGGATGCTTATTTGCACACGAGAAAACAGGCTGAATGAAAGAAGCATTAAGCTCGTGTTGGGACCGTTGGTGTTGGAGGAGGTGGGATTTGAAACCAGGTCAGTCAGATTCCCAAGCCTGCGTGCTTAGCTCTCTTACCAAACTATCTTGGTTCTGTGCCTCCCAAGAAAGAGCTGTGGTGAAAATCAGATGGTGCGGGGGGGTGTGGGAGGAGCCTGGCATGGTGCAGGTTCCCAGACTTGCTGGGCGGAGAGGGCCACGGATGCTACAGTGTGGTGAATGCCAAGTGTACGCATTTCTCCCGCATGCTGCGAGCTCACAGGTGTGGTACTGCTTGCTGTTCACAGCATTTTGCACTGAAGCACCCCGTTTACCCCTCTGAACCCTCCTTGTCTTCATTTGCGGAAAGAAGATGAAGTATCTCGATTACTACCCGACCCATGTAAATTCCATTCCCCCTTTCGCCCTCTCCTCCCCTCCCCATGTCTGTGGTCTGCACGAGGCTTCCACAGGTGTGAGAGTTTATGGTTATAGAAACTGTATTAAATTCTAGCTTCTTCATCTGCCAGTTTATGATGGTTCCATAGTACATAATTTCTAAGAGTTTTGTTTCTTATATTTGTAAAGTGAATCTTTAAATACCTCCTCCAGAGTAGAAAATATGAGGTACTGTATGTAAAGTGCTGCCCACCTCCTTTCTTACCTACACCGCTTCTGCCCATTCTTCAAGGCCCGTCTAAAGTCAGAAGAATCAAAATCAGAACTCCATCTTCTCCATGAGGCCTTTCTAAATGACTGCAGCTCCAGTCTGCACCATTCTTGCAAATTCTTGTTGTATTTATTTCTATACCAGCTCCTGTATCCATTATATTTACCAAACACAATTCTGGAGACACAGGAAGCACTCCATAAGTAAAATAACAGTACTAGTTTTTTAAAAAATCAGATAGTAGAAATGTTTCACCAAGACTCGAATTTATAAAATAAGTGTTTAAAATTCCACATTTTTTAAGTTCAGGGATTTAAGGCTCTTTGGTAAAAGCTGCCTTACAGGGGAAATATAATAGTGGGGGAAATTTGGGCTTTTCTTTTTTAAAGTTGAGAAACAATTTCCTGACATCTCTTGAAATAACTAGGGGTACCTGGGGTAGTTACTAAACCCACAATAAGAATCTCAAATCCAGGGGCACCTGGGTGGCTCAGTTGATTGCACATCTGACTTCGGCTCAGGTCATGATCTCACTGTTTGCTTCAGATCCTCTGTCTCTCTCTCTCTCTCTCTCTCTCTCTCTCTCTCAAAAATAAATAAAACATTAAAGAAAAAGAATCTCAAATCCGGAGAAAGCATTGCACAATGATCCCAGATATTTTTAGTTGCTTATATAATAAACCCTACTAATGGATTTATTTACATAAAACTCTGTGTTTCCTTTTTCATATTTTAGATGGAGCAGATTAAAAGGGCAAATAAACTGTTTACAAATGATTGTATATTTCTGAAGAAAACTTTGAACATCCCAGTTATATCAGAGAAACCTTTGTCGTTTAATGGACTTAACTCAATAGATTCTCCAGAAAATGAAACTGTCGATAGCAGTTTTTCTCATGAGGAAGAGCCGGTAGCAGCTGCAGAAGACCTCTCTCCTCCCAGTCCTCAAGAATCCGACGTTCAGCCTGTACAGCCTGAAGAAGTGTCAGCTAGAGATTTCCTGCAGAGACTAGACTTGCAGATTAAGTTGTCAACACAGGCAGCCAAGAAACTGAAAGAAGAGAGCAGGTAAAAATACGCTGGTAAAATGTCAGAGGCTGAATAAATGACTCTTAGGATGTCCTTGCTTTGCTAAGTTTCGTTTTGTTTTCTCTCTGCTTCTGTTTCCCTTTTTCTCTGAAACTTGTATTTTAATTCTAGAAAGTCACTATTAATATATGAGGTCTAAAAAGAGCTATTGCATTCTGCATAGGACTTCATCTATTGCAATGTTCTTGTTTTGGGCTCTGTTACTTGTTATCTGGGGGAGCCGGGATTGCTCAGTTGATTAAGTGTCTGACTCTTGATTTTGGCTCAGGTCAGGATCCCAGGGTTGTGAGATTGAGCCTCACATCAGGCTCTACCCTGAGTGTGGAGCTTGCTTAAGAATCTCCTCTCTCTTTTTCTCTCTCTCTCTCTCTCCCTCTCTTTCTCTCTTCCTTCCCCCTCCCCTGCTTGCACTCCTCTCTAAAAAAAGTAAATAAAATAAACACATTTTTTAAAAAAAATTGTTGCTTTGCTTTAGTAGCGTAACCATCCAGCTAGCAATTCTGGATAGCAGCCAAGCAGAAACATCTAGTTTACCCCTTCAAAGGAGCAATGCCCTAGGGAATACTTGCGAACTACTGATCCTAATAAAATTTGTCAAAGACATTGTCCATTATTTGTTACTAGGTGTTTTTCATGTGAACTTTTTTCTTTGTTTTTTGTTAGGGCAAATCTTTCTCTCTCCTATAGAATTGTTTTTCTCCTTCCTTTATGATTCCAAAAATGGCACAAGCTATTGTGTTTGCTTTTTTTTTTGCCCTGGCTACCAGGAAGCTTGCAATTAAAACTGATTTTCAGTTCAACTACTACAGTATTTCATATGGCTAATATATTTGTATCCTTCTCCTTTCCTTGGTTCTCATTTTTCATTTCTATCTAATTCATCTTATTATACATATGCCCTTTGTTGTAGGCACATCAAGCCCTTTGGAGAAAAAGGTGGAATATAAAAACTATAAACAAACATGAATATAATCATCTTATAGTTTAATACATTTTGTTTAAATGTAATAGAGAATATAAATATAAAGCAAGTACTGTTCTTTATACCAGTAGCTGAAATACCAGTAAAATGCAGATAATAAGGCACACCCTAATGAGTATTTGCATTTCATTCAACTTCCAAGACATGCAAAATATTATATATTGATATACTCCTGCACTTCTTTGGCAAGTGGATATTAAGTTATATAATGAGTACAGTCTACGTATTAGTTTTCTGAATATCATGTTTAAACACTGATTCGTGCTGAATTTCTTTTTTTCAGAGATGAAGAGAGCCCCTATGCAACTTCCCTCTATCACAGTTAGATGATCAGAGATGATTATCTAACCTGGATTAAGAGATGGTTGTATCATGCAGAAACCAACAGCTGAAGATTCAAAAGTATACATCCTTAAATCACAACTAAGTAGTTCCACCTACTGCAATTGCACTGAAATGATTATTTCCCTCTGGCTTTCTATAATTTTAAGTCTTTATTATGGCATGAGAGCAAATTGTATTCTAAAGATCATCACTTTTGTAGGTGATGGTAGTTTTTAGACTAGTTTTCGTAAATACTAGTTAACAAAGCATCAAGGACTATATATATATATTCAAGCTGAAAGCAGTGTTTATCCTCTGAAAAATCCTAATTATGTGAAATACATGGTTGCTGTTTAAGTGATGCTGATTTTGCTATGTGTTTATAACTTAAGTGCTATATATATATATTTCGATATGTATTACATATTCTGTATTAATATAGAGAACGAAATTTTGTCTGCTATTTTGTAAAAATAAACTATAAAAGCCTGAATGAGAAAATAAACTATGTTTTCATATTTGAGTCTGCAATTTTTTTCGACAAATGGAAAAATAAAATTGATTCACAAATTATTTTTGAAATGGTGATAGCTTCTCCATTTTAGTTCCTTTTATTATTATTATTGGAATTTTGAAAAAGTTTCAGTAATCTAAAAGCAAATCAATTATGGGTATAGTAGCCTTTGCATTTTCATAATATTTGACCTGATTTGTTTGAGATAAAATATAAACATAGAATATGATCAGAAGGAGAAATAAAGAATACCATGCTCCAGGGTGCCTAGGTGGCTCAGTCGGTTAAGCAAGCATCTGACCTCAGCTCAGGTCATGATCTCATAGTTCGTGATTTTAGGCTCCCATTGGGCTCTGTGCTCACAGCTCAGAGCCTGGAGCCTCCTTCGGATTCTGTGTCTCCCTCTCTCTCTGCCCCTAACCCACTCACATTCTGTCTCTGTCACTCTCAAAAATAAACAAACATCAAAAAAAAAAAAATACCATGCTCTGAGACACTGGTGACTTCTAGGCTAGATTTCATTAAGTTACTTTATAGAGTGTTTTATAGTCACTGTGCTCATTTGAATTGAGGGTTTTTATTCACCTCTTGTCTTTTATCATATGTACAGGTTAAGCCTTCAGCAATATATTATTTACAATTAGAAGGTGTTTTTGGTCTCAATTTTTATTCAAGTACAAGGTTAAATAATTCTTAAGCCTCATATTTATCCCTCCCCTACATCCCCAAAGGATCTTCTGTGGGACAAACAGGATTCTCCCTTCATTTTCTCTTCTTTTTCTTGCTCCTCCAGGTCTTCCATTAAGCAGGAAACAGGTGCCCTTAGGTGTCAGTGCAGCAGAGCTGGTAGAGCAGAACCGCACATGTCCAGCCCCGGGGGGTGCCTGACAGGTGCATGCCTGGGAACAGTAGTTGTCTGCCCTTGGCTCGAATTTGTTCATAACATACATTATCCCTTGTGGTGTTTTTCTCATGCTAGTATTGATTGATATAGGGTGATCTTTTTTTAAGCTTATTTTTTTTTAGAGAGAGGCAGAGAGAGCAAATCCCAAGCAGGCTCTGCACCATCAGCACTGAGCCCAACACCAGGTGCGAACCATGACCTGCACAGAAGTCAAGAGTCAGATGCTCAAACAACTCACTCTGGGCCACTGAGGCGCCCCAAGTTGATCTCTTGATCATGCTTTGCTACTCCCTGTCTATGAAGAGTTAGTTGGCAGAAGAGAAAACAAAAAGAAAAAACAAATAAAGGAAGGGAAACCGTCATGTCTGTAAGAAAATGTGTAGGCCTTTTTGGAGGCAAAGGAACTTTAAAAAAATGTAAAGTTATATTGTTTACCATAAACTGAAATTTGAGAGAAATCCAAAAGATATAAATCAAAAAATGCTACCCAAAAGTTGTAATATAAGCAGAAATTTAAAATGAAGGCCACAATCTTAAAAATGTTCTTCTGAGTATTTCATTGTTGTCTAAGGTCTCTCTCAGCACTTTCTGGCCAAAACATCTGTCTCTTTCATTAAAAGAAAATTCATTAAACTAAAAAATCTGAAATTTGTTGTGGCCACAGTTGAACTGTCTTGGACCAGAGTATTTTAGTGCTGCCTCGGAGGAGTAGACTGAGCCACAGGAACTAGGTTTGAGGCCCAGCTTGAACCACTTCTCGGCCATCGGAATTTGAGCACACACTGTGCCCTTGTTCTTTTGGTGAACCAGTTTCCTCATTTACAAAACAAGGCTGAGCCGCCTGAGTGGCTCAGTCAGTTAAGCTACCGACTTTGGCTCAGGTCATGATCTCAGGGTTCATGGGTTTGAGCCCTGCGTCAGGCTCTGTGCTGACTGCCAGCTCAGAGCCTGGAGCCTGCTTCAGATTCTGTATCTCCCTCTCTCTCTGACCCTCCCCTGCTCACACTGTCTCTCTCTCTCTCTCAAAAAAGTAAATAAAACATTTAAAAAACAAATAAATAAAACAGGGCTGATGAGCCCTTACTCATCTTGATTCCTGCTGGGAGCTAATGAATGTCAGTGTGTCGGAAAACTGCAATACATTCCCTAAGAAAATGTCTCATTTTGTTTTATTTATTTATTCTTTAATTTTTTTAATGTGTATTTATTCTTGAGAGAGACAGGCAGAGCACAAGCTGGGGAGGGACTGAGAGAGAGAGAGACACACAGAATCTGAAGCAGGCTCCAGGCTCTGAGCTGTCAGCCCAGAGCCTGATGCAGGGCTCGAACTCAGGAACACTGAGATTGCTATAAGCTGAAGTCGGAGACTTAACTGACTGAGCCACCCAGGCTCCCCTAAGTGTCTCATTTCAAAATATATCACATAGATAGATACATTTTAGAAAAGTGAAAGGATAAAATGCTTTAACTGCAGCCAGATTTTTTTTTTCTGGTGTACAAGCTGCCCATTTGGACTATATACAACATAGGTGAAGTAGCGGTCATGTTATCAAAAATGACATTAAAATGCTCTGACCCATTGTGTTTGGCAAGGATAGTTTGGGCGTAGGTGTTTTTAGTTCCCCATTACTGCTCACCAGTAAGTACTGGCTTTTCAAGAACATACTGAGTTTAGTTTTTGTGTGTGTCAGGCTTCGGTTTTTGTTTATTTTTATAGCTCAAGAGATGATGAAGAGGAGCAGCAGTGGTTTCCTACCCATGAAAAACAGCCTCTTTACGTTTGTCTATAAGTTCTCTGTCCTCACCAAGAAGCAGCTACCAAGACGGAGCATTCAAGACAAGTATCAGAAGGCCATTTGAATTAGGGGCAGCTAATACACAGAGCATTATATTAAGATTTCCAACTGAAATATATAGAAAACATGTTATTACTTTATGCTGAATAATGCATTTTCAAGGCATTTTTCTGTTTGGGAACATTACCCATTAACATTTCATGAGGATCTTGAACCACTGCGTGTTTCCAGGACTGTGTTTGTGATGGTAGCTGAGGAAGACGAGTTGCAGGGGCCCCAAGTTCATTAACCTTTTCCGCAGGAAAGTTCATTTACCAGCTTTGGTCCACAAAGAAGGGAATGATTGTTTTCTCTCTTTCTGTTCCAGTGCCTGCCTCTCTTGTTCTCTATTGAGAAATGTTGGCCTGGATTAAATTCAGTTTAGATAACTCAAATCTGGCATACATCTTTGCTTTGGTAGTGTTTAACACCTCCTTTTTCTTGGGGAGTGCATAGTCATCCCCATTAATAAACAAACTAGATATCTGAAAATTCACTAATAGAAAATATTAACAGTGTGGCAAATTATTAATGAATCCAACAAATCTTATGCCCATTTTCCAGGTTCCTTTTGCACCACTGAGGCCTGATAAAGAGCCAGCAGGAACAGCCAAAAAAGCAGAGAGCTATCCTTTAAGCTAGATAGGTTTTGAGGAAATGTTAATTAATTAATTTATTTAAAAAAAATTTTTAAGGTTTTATTTATTTCTAAGAGAGAGAGAGAGACAGCGTGAGCAGGGGAAGGTCAGAGAGAGAGGGAGACACAGAATCTGAAACAGGCTCCAGGCTCTAAGCTAGCTGTCAGCCCAGAGCCTGACTCGGGGCTTGAATCCACGAACCATGAGATTATGATCTGAGCCAAAGTTGGACGCTTAACCGACTGAGCCACCCAGGTGCCCCAGAAATGTTAATTTATTTTAACTCCCAAAAAGGAACTGGTGGTGGAAACATTTTTTAACAGACATATCCTATGAGGTGTTGTGATACCCAGCATGCCTTGAAAACAGAACCCCTTAATTCTTCAGGGGGTGTCTGTGTGTGTGACACGGCAGGAAGAAGCTTCCGTTTTAAATTCAGTCTGTTACAAGCTTTCCAAAGCAACATATCTCTGATTATAAAATGTAAATCTATAAGGAAATAAGGATTCTATATACAAAATCTCAGCTTACAGACACCTTTACTTCTCAAATAGTTTTTATGGCAAGAAAGCTATGTTTGACCACTTCTAAAAGGTTAACTACTGCACTTTCATCACTTTCTAAAAATCCTTGACTCAAATTACTGTAATCACAGAATTAGAAGCGTTTTAGGCTATGTTTTCTGAAACAGTCTAAAGACTCCTGAATCTTTTGCCATTTTTACAGGCTGCTGTAAATACGCTTGATGGCATCGGCTTCTTCCTTATCAAGGATGCCTTTCTCCACGTAAGCATCAGCTTGTTGGTTGATGAAGTCCCTCATCTTTGAAAGGTCATAATCTGGAAAATATTGTCAGAGTGTCATGAGCAAAGATTAGGAAAGAGACATCCCCTTACAGTGATTAACATGAACTAAGAAGCGTTTTATACAACAACACAACTACCATTCCATCCCAGGCTTTCTCATTGGAAGACATATTAGACGTTGGCATTTGTTCAGTCTTTACAGTTTAAATTTTTTAAATGCTTATTTATTTTTGAGAGACAGGGACAGTGAGCATGGGAGGGGCAGAGAAAGAGAGAGAGACTGAATCTGAAGCAGGTTCCAGACTCTGGGCAGTCAGCACAGAGTCCGACACGGGGCTCGAACCCACAAACCGTGAGATCATGACCTGAGCCAAAGTCAGAAACTCAACTGACTGAGCCACCCAAGTGCCCCAGTCTTTACAGTTTAAAACCATGTTTATGTGTATTGTCTCATTTGCTGTCCATGAGCACACCTGCAAGGTGTTCAGGTGAGGAGTACCACCACCATTTGAGCAGGGGGGAACAGCCCCATACAAAACTTTGAAAACTTAATATTTATACCA